GGACAGCGGGGCGCGCGGGGAGACCGTCGGGGCGGCCGTGGGGCGCGGGGCCCGGGCCCCTCCGCGCAAGGAAACGGCGTTCGGGGAAGGAGGGTGGGGGGCCGTCAAAGTTTCGGGGAACTTTCCCACTCGAGATTGCACAACCCTGCAGTGCCCCCTACAGAAAGCGGCGGCCGGGGAGGGAGGGCGGGCGCCCCCCACGACCCCCGACTGCCGGCGGCGGCTCGGCCCCGGGCGGCCTGCAGCTCTGGCTTGGCTTTTTTTTTTTTTTTTTCCTCCTGGTTTTTTTTGGGTTAAATTTTTTTTTTTTTTTTTTCCAAATTAATAAAAAAAAAAAAGGAAAAAAAAAAAAAAAAAAGCGAGCCGGAGCCGCCGCCTGCAGTGGAGCGTGCTCGGCCTCCAGAGGCAGTCGTCTCCAACTTTTGCTCTCCCGCCCCAACTCCGAGCGCGCCTCAAACTTCGCCAGTGTTGGGACCCAAATTTGCCTGCCGCTCAACTCCACTCTAATGCGCGCGCCAAGGCCCCCGGAGGCGCTCTGCAGCCCCGGGGGCCGCGCTCCTGAGGCTCGGGCCCGCCCGCTGGCGCGCTCCCCGAGCCCCGGGCCCGGTGCGGGAAGGGGGAAAGCGGGCGCCCCGGGAGCACCCCGGGAGAGGGCGGAGCGCTCCCGTGCCCCGGGGCAGGGGTGGGGCAGGGAGCTCCCGCGCCCGGAACGTTGCGAGCAAGCCTTGCGAACGTCGCAGGGGGGCACTCGCGAGGGACGGACAGGAAGAGGGCCAGGGGGGACGCCAGAACCCGGGACCACAGCACGGAAACGGCCCGGGGCTGAGCTGCAGTCAGATCCGGGGATGGAGGGAGCCGGAGAAGAGGAGTGAGGAGGCCGGGGAGGCAGGCCCTGCTGCCCTCCTGGAGGCCGGCAGGCCGCTGTGGCAGTGGAGGACCGGGCCGCCCAGAGAGGGACGGGGTCAGGAGGTCGGGCCCGGGCCTCAGCAGGCCCAGAGGAGGCCCAAGAAGGGAGTACCAGGCGCCCTGGAGTTCAGGGCCCAGGCCTTGCCTCGGTTTGTCCAAAGGAGGCCTAGGCCAGGCCTCTGGTGGGGAAACTGAGTCACAGGCAGGCCTCAGGGCACGGCCTGGACGCGTGTGAGCCAAGTGAGGGGTAGGGGGCATAGCCCCTGGGGGGGTCTCCGAGACTAAGCGGGGTAGGGGGCTTCAGGGCCTCCCAGTCCACCGCCGGATTGGCGAGTGAGACGCTTGTAGATCCAGGGTTGGATTGGGGTGGGGTCTCTGGGACGTTGGCTAGCGAGGCGAGGATTGGGGGGATTTAAGTGCTTAGAGATCGAAGGCAGGCCTTGAGTAGGGGGAGTCAGACAATTGGAAAGCCGAGGTGGTTATTTGGGGAGGGGTCTCGGAGCCTGGGCGAAGCGCAAGGCTGCGCCCGCCTGGCTCGAGGCCTTGTCCAGGCAGGTGTCTGTGAAGGGTGGGCCCGACCCGGCCAGGCCAAGAGCAAGAAAAGTGAACAAACCAGGAGTGCTAAGTGGGCGGGGGGCCCCTGAGCGGGGGGTCACAAAGGGTGAGACATGGCCACCAGGCGTTTAACCGACGCTTTCTTGTTGTTGCGGAATAATTCCATCCAAAACCGGCAGCTGTTAGCCGAGCAAGTGAGTAGTTACACCACCTCCAGCCCTCTGCATTCACGTAGCATTGCTGCGGTGAGTCTCCCGGCGGCCTCTCCGACACACGCACCGTGTGCACAGCGGCTCTGCCTGTCTGTCTGTCTCTTGTCTGTCTCTCTGTTTAAAAAAAAAAAAAAAAGAGAAGAAGAATGAGACTAAGAATAATCCGAAGTGGAAGGTCTCTGGGCGAGGGGCCGGGGACGTGTACAACCCTGGATTGGGAAGAAAAAGCAAAAACAGTTTTAGGCCCCTGCTCCACCTCTGCCTTTGCCCTCTCTCTCTCTTCACTTCCGCAACCCTCCTCCCCCGCCTCCCTCCCGCCCCGGGCGTCACTGCCCGACCGGCCGCCTCCGATTTACATGTGTTTTAACACGGAGATTTGGAAAAATTGGGGCCTTCCGGAAGCCTTTTTGTCTCGTTTTGTGTTTAAGCCCCCGCCCTCCCCCTCCCCCCATACGGAGCCTCACTTTGGGTTGCAAGATCGCCGAGCCCGTATCTTTGCAAATGAACGACACCCTCCCCCAAATGAGGAAGCAGTTGGGGTGTGCGTGTGTGTGTGTGTGTGTGTTTGTTTTGTTGTTGTTTCACCCGTTTTCTTTTAATGGCCTCGCGGCCCTGTGTGGGGCCCTGTTCCCTATGAATAATTGCTTCACTGTTTTTCCTGGGGGCTCCTGTTTGGGAGACTAAGGTGCTAGGTTCTTCGTTTTCCATTTCCCAGACAGGAAATTAAGCTTCTCCCTCCGTTCGAACTTAAAAAAAAAAAAAACCCAAACATGTATGTATGTGAAAATTAACCTTCAGAATAGCACATGCTTTTTGATTTAATTAATCTGAACCTTTCTTTAGCGCAGCGGTAGGATCTTTTAGAGGGAGGGCCTGGGAAGATTGCCGAGGGGCCTTTTTTGTTTGTTTTTGACGAGGTCTGCTTACCTTTTCTGAGCTTCAGTTTCTGGCTCTTTCTTGCTCTGGTAAATCAGGGCCGGGGCTGCATGGTCTGTGCAAGACCGTGATTAGCTCTGGAAGATCTTAAATTGAAAAGTGAAGTTAGGAAACTAGTTTGTAGGGGGGGGGGTGCTCCTTGCTATAAACAGGCTAGGTTTGAATAGAAGCAGCCTTGGAGGATGAAGGAAATAAAGTCACCCCCAAACCAGACTCTGAGGGACTATACTTGAAATCTACAGCGCTGGGGACCTCACAGTTATTTCACCTATTAGGGACTGTATTACCTTTTAATTTTTTTCCTTTATGGCCTTACTGAATGCTTCAGAAAAATCATGCCATGTGTCTTGATGAGTGACAAAGACAGTTTTTCCTTTTTGTAACTCACAAGTGGAAAATGTCTTTGGCCATATTGCTTCTATGGAAAAGCTGTTGTAAGCCGCGTGTGCACAGTTTCAGGAATAAAATCGTGCAAATTCAGGTCAAAAGGCATAGAAAACAGGGACGGGGTATGTTTAGATTTGTATTTACTTAAGAATTTGAAGTTGTTTTTTGCATTTATAAACTGAAGAAGAAATGGTATTGTACCGAAAGAGATGTAAATGAAAACGGGCTAATTCCAGTGCTGATTTTTTGAAAAGAATGCTCTGAAATAAGCCAAGAATTAGAGAGTAGAAATAGAATTAATAAAATTCCTCAGTGGAACTTTAGTTTTATCAAACAAGATGTAAAAATTGCATATTCCTCAAACGCTTGGTTTTATGCTACCTGATGGGGGGCGGGGGGGGGGGGTGAACAACAGAACCAAAACTCGGGTTAATGTTTCTAAGGTATCGGTTTTAATTTATTGAAACAACGTTGTTTGCTTTTAAATTTTTCATCGTATAAAGTTCAAAACACCCTGAACTGTTGGGTAACATGAGACTTTTATTATCGTTATTATTAATCATTAAGTCAGACAGTTTAAAAACCTGGTGTCTGAGCCGGGCAGCTTTTTAAAAGTGCATCTCTGAGTCAGACCGATTTTTAAATTGGTTTTCTAAGGTAGGCCGTTAGAAAATATACGTATAAGCTAAGTCAAATAATTAAACATGGATAGCTAAAGTCTATAATTTGGAAAATTAGATATGTCAAAAAAGGTATAGATATATTTAGCTAACTGAGGCAATTTCTAGAAAATAGGTTTCTGAATCAAACTATACATATCTAAGTCAGAACATTAGAACGATATTTTCTGTATGTTTCACCATTTAAAATGTTACATAATGATATTAGTCTCTGAAATTTTTCTCAGCTTATAAGCAATCGGATCATTTAAAATATCCTTGTAGTCAATTCAGACTATCTAAAAAATAGAATTTGCAAGTAAACAAAAATGGTTTGCTTAAGTTAGAGTTAAAAAGCCCCACCTATTAATATTTTTAATTGTGTGCAGTAAGAAAACACATGGCATGTCAAATTTTTCTCAAGTGTTCAGGGGTGAAGTAACACATCTTCAGTCTGCTTCCAATCAATTCACCAGAAACTGTTCTACACACACACACACACACACACACACACACAAAATCAAACATGACAAGATGTTAACATGACTAAGTAGAGGGTATGATTTTTTCAACTTTTCTGGAAGTTGGAAAAGTGCTATAAGCAGTGGGGGGGGGGGGGGAGCCATGTCTAACACAATTTTTTAAAACTTTATCCAGTAACTTCTGCAGCATTTTTCACTGCGTGTCTAGCTCATAGAAAATTTAACACCTCATTTCTGAATTGCAAATTTCAAAACCATGTAGCAAATCAAACAAAATCAAAGTTATTAAATTTGAATATGGCCTGGGTCTTAGGTGACATTAAGAAATAATTAGTTAATTAAGCTAATTATAATTAATCAAATTTGTTAATTTTATTAGAGAATACCTAACTGCAATGTTGAGTAGTGAAATGAGTAAAATGCAACTTACTTTGTATATTTAACCCCCCACAAATGAAACAAATAAGGCAAAATGTTACTGGTTGTTAAGTCTACTGATGAATATGTGGGGTGACATTATACATACATTTTACATATTTTTCAGTATGTTTGAAAAATTAGAAATAAAAACTTAAAAGATATATACAGGGCATATTAAAAACGTGAGCAAAATAATTAAAAGGAGGCAGTTTGTAAATATCTGATAAAACTCAGATTCATGAAAAAGGAAGCAGCTAAATTCTAGAGTTTAATTTAAAAAAATCATAACCTGAAATTTCTAGTTCCTAGCTAGAAGAAAAAGCTGCAGAAGTTGATTTCCATGTGTGTTTGTTACCTCACACACAACCCAAAATAAATCAAAAAATCACATCGAACTGCTAGTTTGGTTAGGGGGCTTTTGTTTTCAAGTTTTAAAGCTGAATTTTCACATCCTTATTTAAGGAAAAGGCTGTGATTTTTTGATTTGATTAGAAGGTTGTGTGCACGTGTGTGCCTCACACGCCTCAAAACACAGGACACCCGAAGCCATATCGTTCAAGAAACTTAAACATGCATTTCACTGCATCCTAGTTTAAGGGGAAGAAACCCAGAAGTTCTATGGTGGCGACGGTGGGCTTGCTCTGTGCGTCCTTAGACGTGCATGCTGAAACAGGTTGATGCAGCATTCAGGCAGATATGTCACAGCTAAGCAGGAATTTAAGGAGGATGTGCAGCGACAAAGCAAGCCGAGTCCCCAGGGCCAGCAGAGACCTAAAGATCCTTGAGCCGACATCCCAGCTGTGATAACCCTTATGCCTCCCTTCCTCGACCACATTCTGCGATGGCTCCGGGGGCATCCAGCAGCCAGCCAGTCCCAAACAGCCTTTGCCTATACCCCAAGTACAGAACCCCAAGTCTGTACCTTGTATCCTGTGGTCCTGGCCCTCTGGGTCTCTGACACGGGAAGCCTCTTCCTTCTTCTGCCTGATAACCCTGCAGCCTTCTCCTTGCCGAGAGCTTTCTCTGTCTAGCTCAGCAGCCCCGGCTCACACAGCCTGGTTAAGTTTCTTGCCTGTGAATGAAACCTAGTTTTCCTCTCTGCCTTTTAAAGTTTAGCAGCCAGAGCTGAACAAAATTCTCCTTGATTGTGGTTTTGCTTGTACTGACATTGGTAAACCTCATTGTTAGAAACAGACAGGGGCTGATTTTGTTTTGTTTTGTTTTGTTTTTTAGACTTGCAGCAAAATGCAATTGTTGGCGTTTCTCGTTCTTTGTGTTTGGGCCTCAGTCCTAGATCCCCCATCATTGTTGTGCCTCACGGCAGTGTGAACTAAAGGAAAAGAGCACTGGACTCTGAGTCTGGAGATTTAGGGTTAAGTCTCATCTGCGGCTGACTCTCACTCAGAATGTCTTTAGGCTCCTTGGTCTCTTCTGACATCTTTTGCCTTGTTTATAAGTTGAGGGGTTTGAGTCAGGTGGTTTCTGAGGGCCGTGTGGATTCAACAATGCCTTCTTGAGTTCTGGTCCAGTACAAGGTTTCCCCTGACCAAGGCACACAGCCCTAGGAGCCCTAGCTTCAATTTGAAAAGGAGAAATAGTCAACAACGTCGCTGTGCCCGCTGGGCCAGCGTCGTGCAAAAATCCTTGGAAGTGGCTCCAGGACCTCGCTGACCTAACTTTGACGTCGTATCAGCCAAGTGCAGGGTTGAAGGCACCGCCTCATTCGAGCAGTTACAGGCAGCTTGGCTTTAAGGAGCTCAAGTGAATTTACAAAGTAAAATAATCATTCAGGAAAATGTGTGAAGTCTCAAACGAATGAATGAAAAGTAGTTGTTGAGTTGCTGTTCTGATCTTGATGAGGTGCCATATGACGCCTTTGGTCTGGAATGGGTCTAAGGGTTTGGAGCCACTCGGTTAGTGTTGACTTGCCTGATCTATCCTGTGCTTTAAAATAACGCGTAATCTATCAATGGAAGCTGGAGTTAATTGGTCTTAGATTAGTTTGAAACCACATTATTTTTAATAAAACATGGTGTGCTTTAGGATTAACTAAGGTTATAAGAAACCTGAAGTCCTTCAGTCTTGACTGTAACGTAAGCCGAGATTTATTGAGAGCTTACTATGTGCCTGGCTCTGGGCTCCGGGCATGTGGGCACCTTCTGTATGCAGCCTCACAGAGCTCTTGTCACTCGGGTGTTGTTGTTTTTCTCACGATACAGATAAGGGAACTAAGGTTTGGAGGGCGTTAGGGAGCTTGTCCAGTGCCCCCCACCTAGAGAGTCTCGGGCCAACCTGGCCCCAGAGCCCTGTGCTAACCCACTGGGCTGCAGTACTGTTTGTCGCTGCACATCCCAGAATGTGGAAGGACCCATTGTTTAAGTCTTGGGGGTGTTTTTTCCTTACAGTAGGATAGCATCTTTCTGTGTCTTGCTCTCCAGCCGTGCATAACTGCGTTTTTACTAGCATATTGAAGGTTCTAGTCCACACTGAGTCTGTTGGAAAATTAGTCCTCTGTCTTTAGAATCCAAGTATGAAATCATTGTATATTTCTCTTTAGAGCTGTTTGCTTTCCTGCCTCTAAAGATTCCCTTTGAGCAGTGAGGCTTACTTGAGAATAAGGGTACTTTGTTGGATAAAAGAGAAGCAAACTTTCATTTTGGCAGTAACGGAAATAAAGTAAATATCACGATAGCATAGACCTGTGCTTCCAAGTCATTTTGCTCAACTTTTCCAGACGTCCTGAGTAAACACAGATGGGTTTCCACTTATTTTTCAGTTTTATGTAGAAAGTTCATTAGACTATAAATTCCACATGCTACTTGGAGTTTTCAATATTTGCTTGGTTATATGCCATTGGCAGGTCAAAAACCTAGATTTAGACATTGTAAAGATTTAGAAGGTGGTGATGTGTAGTAACGTGTTTTCATTTGGCTGTATTTTGGTTTTTCCTCATGGTAATTCTAAATGTTTTAATTTGTTTCTTGACCAGATTTTCTGGTAATTTGATGGCGGGGGGGGGGTTTTAACCCCCCCCTTTTTTTAACCCCCCACCGGGGGGGCGGTAGGTGGGGACTCTTTGGGAAGCTGACCTCTGAATTTAATTCCCGATGTGTTACAGTAGTAGCTGACTATCACTAATAATTTCTTGAATTGTTAATAAAATTAGAGATGCTGGGGGGTGGGGGGCGGGGAAGAGGCCTGAACACCTGGGTCTGTCGTCCTCTTCTGAGCCATAAAGCTCTGTGACGCTGGGAAAATGGATTTATACATTCTGCAGCGTAGTTTTCTTACTTACAACAAAAAGAGGCTTTATCTAGTCCGTGATTCTGATTTCACCTCTTATCAGCCAGTAATTGTAAAAACTGAAAGATCAGGGTGTGTGCTGGGTTAATAATCCAAGAGGACAGGCTCACGTGTAGCAGAGACCTTACCCGAGGCTCGCAGTGGTACTTTGTTCGAAGATTCGATGCCAGGTAGCCACTGCAGAAGGGACAGAGGTACAGGCTGAGATAACCGAAGTTAGGGGTTCTGCCCTCTGTCCTGTTCTATTAATAAAAACAATGCAGTGCTTTCTGCATGAAAATGTTAAGCTCTTAAAAAATAAGAACATTGTCTTTTTTTCTTCTTAAAGCAAAAGGTAATTAAATCAGATTTCCATCTGACACTGTCTTCTCTATTAAAATTTTCTAGTACTCCTGTTACGGCAGGGTGTGTATATAAATATCATTCTCTTTGTTCTCGTGGCAAGTTGTAGAAGGAATGAAGACGACTTTCAGCTTTGTAATGTCAGCTAATTGAATTTTTACATGGAGGAATACTGCTGGATTACACTTTTTATTACTGTCATTGTTTAATAATATTTTGGTCCTGACAGACCAGTTTCATTTGCACTATTAATTTTTAAATAAGGAACTTATGTTTTTTAATTTTCTAAATTTACTGCTGAACATAAAAAAAAAAAACACAGTTGGTGATTGAAATTTACCACAAATTATTTCAGTGATCAATAACACAAAAAAGTAAAAAAAAAACAAAAACAAAACAAAAACAAAAAAACCTAGTTCTTTAGATTATCTATCATCGGTAAATATCTGTTCAGAAGCTAGAGTTCCATGTCGATCTAAAAAAGAACCTTTAGTTTTGAATTGAAACTTAATCCTCTGGCTGCCGGTGCTTCTTCCTCCCTGTTCCCCCCTTAGGAAAATCTCTCGTTCTCGTTTCGTTTCGTTTTGTTTACTTGCTTTGATAATGGCTTTACCAAAAACTGTGTGCTTTCTAGACTAATAATAATAAATGGCAAGCAAATGGGGGAGAGTTTTTCTTTTCTCTTACCACCTGTGTCTCTCTCCGGGGAAGAAGGGTTTCTCGGCTGGCTTATTACCGCGGATAAAGCCGTGTCTGCGGGATTGAATTTGTAGAGACCTTACACGTGTGGTCACTCAAATATGATCTGAACGCAGCCATAGACCATTTCTGTGGGTTGTCCATTTGCTAATTCTGCTGCATTTGCAGGGCTCATTTACATGCTAAAATATACACTTCTTGGACCCGGTAAAACTGCATTTTAGCTTTGCTCTCAAATTATTGTATCTTCCTAAGGGAAATTTAGAATATTGTATGTGGTATTTGATACTGATCGAACAGATTAGCATTATATTGTTGCGAGACTAAAGCAAGTGTGTTTTATTTGCTTTATGGTATTTTAATTTTTACAACTGCTTATTGTTTCCTATCTCATTCACCGAAACAACAATCACGGTAAATAAAAAAAAATACATGTGTATTGATGTAGCTTTTTTTCTTTTTTTTTTAAAGGAGCAATCAAAAGGGGGAGATTTTTTAAATGCCTTGGTTAGTGGATCTTTATTTTTAGTCAACTTTAGAGCTGTTTAAAATCAAAGTGTTTCCCAACTGACCATGCCTTATCTGTCTGTCCCCATCCTTCTTCCTTTTCTGCTATCCCTGACTGGATGGGACTGATGGGAACAACATGTCTCTTCAGGAGCTGGACGAGGTATTGTGTTTTGAATATTTCTGTATGTTAGTTAATAAAATTATGTCTTTTTTTTTTTTTTTTGAAGTCTTTGGTCATATACAGAATACTAACAGAGCTGATACACGTTCTAGCGTTTCTTTTGACTACTCATAATTGCTGTGTTTATCAGTTTGATCTTCAGGATGTCTTAATATGTTTTCACCCCAGGTAAATTGGTGGCTTAGAGAAGAGTTTAAGGAACAATTATTTGCTGCGCTTGGGAAAGTGTCTCAACTTGAGAAATAAATAGTAAAGGTTGAGTGAGCCTTTTCTTGAACTTATAAAAAGCCAGATCGTTTTTAGGATTGTATGTATAACCCCCTGCTTTCTGCGAAGCGTGCTGCTTGCTTTCTGCGAAGCAAGGCTGCTCAGGTAGAGTGTGGAGGACATGGTGTCTGTCTGGCGAGAGCCCCAAGGAAGCGGGCTCACAACCTGGGGGCCTGCCGGGGAGGCTTCGCAGTCACGGTCACGTGCCGGGGTGAGGCCGGCGACCCTCTGTGTGTGCTCGTCACTGCAGGGTCCCCTCTTTGCCCCCTTCCCTTCCCAGCAGCGCACGTTCGGCCTTTTCAAGACCTAACTAGCAACTCACCGAGAAGACGGACAGGGTGCATGTTCCTAGCACTGTAGTCTAGAAGCGCTAATGAAAGGGTTGAGGCAAAAGGGGATTGAACTGTGGCTGTCAGTCTTGTGTCTCTCTGACCCATTTCCGCTGTGGAAGGATAAAAATATTTTTTCCTGAGGGTAGACCTTTTTAAAAGTAACAGAGAGGAGGTATTTTGGGGTTTTGTTTATTGCAATTCAGATAGGACCACCGAGGTGGGATTCGGGTGACTGTCTTCAGAACCAGTGGAGCTCCTAACTAGTAGATGAAGATCTACCTGTACGTTCTACAAGCTGTTTTAACTAGTCAGTGGTAGGAACAGATGGGGAACAACCTGCTGCATAGCCTTCGTCGAGAGCTGGTTAAAGAAACCGGATAGCATCTTGATTCCCTGTACCTCGAAGGGTGCGGTCCCTCCGTGGGGCCGCAGCCGACTGAGCCCCGGGACGCATCACCGAGTGGGAAGGAGCCTGATGCGAACTAGTGTGGAAGCTGTGGTTCCTGCTCTTCTGGGTTTTGTTTTCGGGAAGAGCAACTCCCATTTACGCTTGGGTGTGCTTAGAAATTTCTGAAGAGACAAAGTAGACAGTTAACAGTGGATCCCTTCCAGGAAAAGTCTGGGATGGAAGAGAAACTTGCTCTCTATCGCATACCCTTTTCTTAGGTTGGATATCTGGTTTTAAAACCTGTGCATGCACTACTTCTGTCATTAAAAAACAACTAGTATTTGGGGTGCCCGGGTGGCTCAGTCGGTTGAGCGTCCGACTTCAGCTCAGGTCATGATCTCACGGTCCATGGGTTCGAGCCCCGCGTCAGACTCTGTGCTGACAGCTCAGAGCCCGGAGCCTGCTTCGGGTTCTGTGTCCCCTCCACCCCCCACCCCCACCCCGCTCTCTGCCCCTCCCCGTCTCACACTCTGTCTCTAAAAAATGAATAAATGTTTAAAAAAATATATTAAAACAAAACAGAAAAAACCTAGTATTTAAAAACAGCTACCCTTAAGCGAGTAGCTCATTGATCCCGGTGTCTTGGCCTCCCTGCCAGCACTGGGCCCGGGCCGGGGCCCCAGCCCTGGAGAGCTAGGAAGTGACTGCAGCTCCCCGACAGTGGAGTTAAGCGTCTCTGGGGCACAGTGGACAGGATGTGCCTGGGTTTGCCGACCAGACTCGAAAGGCATGAAGGCCTGGGGGCTGGGAGCGGAGGCCTTTCAGATTAGATGCGGCCCCTTCTTGAACAGTTGGGGGCTACGGCTCCCAGAAGGAAGTGTGAGATGGGGGATAGATAACAAACCACAGAAGAACAGAAGTCAAAGAAACACTGGCCACTTTCCATGTGAGGAGCACATCTACAGTCATGTTACTTAGGGGTCTGCCCCGGGAGCCGAGTTCCAGTCTTGCCTCCCTCTTCAGAAACTGGCTACTACCCACAGTGAGAACCAGCAGCCCCTCTGCTTTTCTTCTTAGCTTCTGGGTGTTTAAAGGGGGGTCTCCACATCCTGTCACCAGAGACGCTGCCCGGAGGGCCACTTGGCCCCATGATGCGACTCCCGTGCCTCTGGGATTCTCTAGACTTAGTCAGCCTTCATTCTGGGTCCACATGGCCACCTCGTCCTCGTGAGCACTTCACTTGGCCCTTCTTGTCCTCTGTCTAGGACCATTGTATCTTTTATGAAGTTAGCTTCCAGAATTGTACGTGACCTGGGTTTTGTCTGCTTCGTCCATTGCTTGTGTTTATTGTTGACCCAGCTAATTACAATGGCACATTTCTTACCATTCAGCTCCAGGTGCTGGGTTAGGAGCTGGGGGTGTTGGGGCTTGGTGTCTAGAGCCCTGCTTCACCACAACTGCCGCAGGGCTTGGGGTCGGTGTCTTCTGGGGATAGTGAGAGTGACACACGGGTTCTAGGCATGAGTTAGAAGCCCACCCCTCTGGAGTTGAGGCCTGAGCAGAATTTCCTGACCGCATCCCTCGGGTCTCCCAGAGTGAAGCCATCTGGTGGCACCTTACAGGGTGCCCCCGGTAGACTGTCATTCTGCCCGGATCAACTTGAAAATCTGCGCCCTGGGGATCCCGCTCTGCGTCTTTCTCCACAAGTAGCAATGGGGTGTCCCTAAGGAGGAAGCACACCCGCCGTTTACTTTCTTACCCAGAGAAGTGTCTGGCCCTCTGCTTTGTTCCCTGCTCTCATCTACTTCTCTTCCGGTAACAAAGTCGTCTCCCAAGCTGTTGGGTCTTTAAAAGTCATAACTGGACATAATAAAAAATTACAAGACGTAAGTGCCAAGCTCTCCAAGCACATAGCCTGGGCAGGGCACTACGGTGACATAGTAGGGACATGGGGGCCGCAGGCTGGGCCCGCTGGTCACCTGCTTGGAAAGTCTCTATCCAGGGGGGCGGGCTTAGTGTCCATGTTTGTACAACAGGGGGCGGTCCTCTCCGAGGGCTTGTTGTTGGGGTACAGGGCTCCAATCAGTGGAAGGACGGCAGCGACAGCACAGGCCATTGTTGCTGCCCGAGTTTTTAAGGGTGTGAACAATAGTTGAGAGAAAAGGAAAATCCGTGAAACCGGCAGCATTTATATATCTGGGTGGTAGGATTCTCTGATTTTTGTTTTTGTTCTCTTTTCTTTTTGTATCTTTCTGTTATTTATTTTTCACACACTTAAAAAAAAGTGTCTCTCTTGGACATTTAGTGTCTCACAACCAGAAAAATTAGTCACTATTTAAATGATCACAGATGTAAAAATCAAACACACTGCAGTGCTGACACCCCCTGATTCTTTTTTATCCACGTGCTTTTTTACTCCCTCAAAAACCTGAGATTTCTGAAGCCTAACCATCTGTGAGCAAAGTCCCCCAGCCATCTCGAGCCCAGCGAGTCGCGCTTGTGGTCTGACTTCATCATACACACCCCTGGGTTGTCTCACGTGGAGGCGAGAGCGGCCAGGCTGTGAGTTTCAGCGTCCCTTCAGGACTTGCTAAGTGCCCGCCGCCACAAACCATCCAGAATTGTCAGTATTGTTTCTCGTTACCAATCCATTATGACGGGACTTAGTTTATTTTATTTCTGTTCAGATATGGGGTGGGGGGAGCATATGTCAGACTTTGCTAATCTCTGCGGAGGCTTTGCTGTGTCCTTAATCTTACAGGACACCAAATCAGCCTTCTTGTAAAGGCAGGGTTTCCAAAGAGTAGAAAGATTTGCGGCAGCCGGATTTATAAGAAGAGGATGCGTGTGCGCGCGTTCCTTCCGTAGATCAGGAACTTGCCCGTGCTGTCTGGTGCTCTTTAAGGGACAAGTGTCGGCATCTACAGTGGACCAAGGGCAAAGGTAACTGTAGGGAGGCCAGCAAGGAGCCCTGTGGGCGTGCGGTTCTGAACATCTGTTGCAATTTTCCTGCATCGATGACCCCGGGTCCAGCGCACCCCCAAATCGGAGCCCCAAATCAAAGACAAGAATTCTGAAATTCTCCTCAGAATTTTTACTGATTTTTTTTTTTTAATTTAAAAAGTACAGAAAAGTTTTTGTTTTTATTTCGGAAGCACAAGTTCATTTTAGAAAAGCTTTATAGACCAGGATCATCATATATTCAGAGAGGGGACTAAGTTGAAATTCAGCAAGGATAAGCAGGGAGAATAAAAAATCTGGCAAGTTTTTTAAAAAGCCTGTCTTGACTGAAAGGGCAACTTGAAAACTGACAGGATCATCCTGGATCTTAAGAAAATAAGAAAACATGTTTTCAAATGTGAAGTGAGGTTGAAAGGGGGTGATTGTTTTGCATGTAACATAGATTTTGTTACTGTTCATATTTGTTTCTGTTTCAAGTAGTTGACATTTCTCTTCAATTATGTTTTTCCCTTCTCAAAACGATGTGGGTTTTTTTTTTTTTTCATTTTGAATTCATACTGGTAAAATAAAGGACACATTTCATCTGAGTACTGCTGAATTTCTTTATCAGGATGAGCTATGGCTATAGACTATATGAGGAAAGGGACAATTTTTCCAATATTTAAAGTTTGCAGCCCCAAAGACTGCATAGACTATCTTACTGGCAAAATCCTGATCCAATGTGGGGAAGCCAGGGCCAGCTTTTTGAGCTGGGATCTGTCACTTTCGGGTAGGGATCTCTTAATTAGCAAGCTTCCTCAGAGAAGCTTGAAAGAGAACGTGTTGGCCCCAGTTTTAACTTATACGCATTGGGGGGGGGAGAGGGGGGGTGGACACAACTCTTGGGTAAAACCAGGTACCGCTTAAAAAAGGTGGGTCCACTTCAGCTGACTTCACTTGTGATTGAAGTTTCAGGAAAGTCGATTTGTTTCAGAAAAGTCGATACTGATTACTACGCAGGTAAATTTAGATGAATACCACCTCTGTATCTTTTTTAGTTTAATGTATTTTTATAAACAGTCAAAACAGTACAAAAAAGGTCATGAGCTTAAAAGGTCATGAGCCTACATAAAGTATTACTCTATTGAAAATGATATGCTAATGAAATTAGTATATAGATTATATAATAATAATCTAGATTAGATAATAAGCTGGCATCAAGGAAATTCTGTGACCCATGAAGAGGTACCTTAGCAGTTTTGGGGTTTGCTTTGTATAAACAGCTGGAGGTTTGAGTTCAGGTTCTGCTCCAGGAGACCCACAGCTCTGTGTCCCGCACGAGTTGGCTGTGTGGTCTGCCCCTCCTGCCTTGGTCAGTATGTCCTGTGCAGAGTTGCATACCTTTCCGTGACTTCAGAGCAGGAGTTTGAGGAATAAGCAGGTCTGTTCCTGCTCTGTGTACGATGAGGTCTGAGCCCCGTTGCTGTACCCGCAGGTGGTCAGTGAGAGAGGCCGCTTTATGTTGAGACTCTTGTGCTCACTGGGAGCTGGTCCTCTCTCCCTGGTACGGTTTGGTGGGGGGTGGATCCAGGACTGTGTTTCGTGGTGGTGGTTCAGTCTGAGGGCTTGCTGTCCTGATTTGTTTTCTTAGCAAATTGCAATTCTATTTCACGGGCCTGCCAAAATGATGGGGGAGATGGGGCCTCTGGAGTCATTGGACCCAGTTTTAATCTGTCACATAATAGCTCTGTGACCTTGGGCAAGCTACTTAACTTTTCTGAGTTTCAATTTCCTCATTTATAGATTGGAATAACAGTTCCTAGCTCACCTAGTTTCCGTGAGGATTAAAACAATAAAAAGAATATAAGATTCCTATTGGTGAACTCTTGAAAACAAACAGGGTGGCTGTGGTTGAGAATTGCCACTTTATGGACCCAGCGCCCCAGATTGTGCAGGTCGGATGACACACAGTTTGTCTGTGACCCGAGGTGACTCTGTGGTCCCGTAGGGTCCACGCGGTGGCGGAATGCTGGTGACTTAATCACGACTCAGAGACGCTCAGGGAGCAGTTACGAGGGTTCTGGTGTCTTCGGTGTGGTCATTGCACGCGGTGTGATCCCGGAACACACAGAATGTCCTAAGCCCGTGGGGGCAGGGCCTGGCAGGGGCGGGGGGGCCCGGGGCAGCTGCAAGACGCCAATTTGCTTGTAGGAATTTTTCTGTAAACTGTTTAGCATAGAAGAATTAGGATAGAAGAATTCTTTGAATGTAGGTTTTTGCTTATGTCACATTTTTTCCCTTTATCTGTTGATTTTTAAATTTTGTCTTGTTTCTTTATTAGAAAAGCAAACAAGTATTTGCTGAATGAATGAAAACATAACTTTAGGTACATGCAAGGAAGCGGGGGAGAGAAAAGCAACATAAATTCTTCACCCAATTCCACAGTATGGTTTAGGGCATTTACAAAGTATTACCTGTAAAAGACTTTTATATTACTGTTTTCCATTATTTTTCAATCATCATTTGGATCTTTGGAAACTGGCATTTATAAATTCTGAACTCCGGAGGGCACCTCCAGATGGCTCTCAACCCGTTCACTGCCTCAAGGCAAGCCAGCAGCTTAACTCAGCCAGGCCCGGCCTTCCCTCCCCGGGTCTTCAAGGTTTTCGAAGCCAGTGTCTGAGACCCGGGAAAAGAACCAGAGCTCTGGGTATCATTTCAAAATAAGTGAAAACACCGCGTGTGGACACTGAACTGAAGAAAGGAAGCGACAGGCAGACTTGCGTTGAGATTTTTGAGGATTGCTTTTGCATGGTGGGTGATTTGCTGATCATTTCAGGCAGTTCTTTGAGACATTTTAACACATGGTTAATGACCTTGTGACCAAGATGACTGGCTCAGTCCCATTTCCAAAATAAGCGAAACGTGTGTAAGTAAACCTTGCTCCTACTGAACATTTTGTGTGAGTTCCGTTTGTAGCCTCGTTTTGTTTTTTTTTTTAACTTGTATCTGCTCGCATTAATTGTTGAGGTTCATGCCATCCTGTCCGTACGTAGTGCTAGTGATAAGAGGTCTTTCTGTTAAGGCTCTTCTGTTGATTTTTTTTATTACATTTCTATAGCCAGATCAAGTCCAATTCATGTTCACAAGTATGTCCAAGAAAATTAAGAACTGGTGCATGAAAAGATAGGAACACAATCCCAAATGCTAGCAGTACCAAACCAAGCTTATGATACAGGCAAGTGCACTTACTCCTACATTTCTTGGTCTTCTCAGGGAGTGACATTTAAAAGGGTATGAGAGTGTGCTTGTCAAAATGGAACCTGAGTAACTTTTTTCCCATGTCCCTTTATTTCCCTGTAGCTTGCCGACGACCGTATGGCTCTGGTGTCGGGCATTAGCTTAGATCCAGAAGCAGCAATCGGCGTGACAAAGCGGTCGCCCCCTAAGTGGGTGGACGGAGTGGACGAAGTAAGTGGAATGTTAGTTTCACGCGATCTTGTTGTTTTAAGTAATTGTATGACGCCGACACGTGTAAAGGTGCTTTTGCCGTAAGAAGCGTGACGACACGGTGAACGCAGGCACCTGGAAGTAATCCCGCCTTAGGGTCGCTCGCCTTACACCCCACCGGAAAAGGGGGTGTGAGCCGGTGGTTCGGGCTTCAGTGGGAGTGGCCTGGATTAGAGAGAGAGACTCAAGCACCATGTCATGAGCAGTGGGATTTGAACTTCGATAAGCTGAATGCAAAGTCGCTCACGCGCCGGTGAGGCTACAAGTTGGCTGAAGCCCGGACCCTGTGCTCTAGAGTGTAGCTGATCGTCTCAGAGGCAGACAGATGCCTGGCAGGCGGCACTGCAGCTTTGGTGGTTTCATTTGCGTAGATACAGTACGACGTTGGCCGGATCAAACAGAAAATGAAGGAATTAGCCAGCCTTCACGACCAGCATTTAAACAGGCCCACCCTGGACGACAGCAGTGAGCAGGAACACGCCATTGAAATCACCGCCCAAGAGATCACTCAGGTGAGGGTGGGACTGGGTCCCCAGGCCGGAGTGGGCAGTTCCCGGCCCCCTCAGAGGCCGGAGCGTGGCACAGCTCTCAGATCGCACCTCCCTCCCCCAGAGTTACGCTTCCCAGCCCGCAGCCCACCAAGAGACTTGAGACCCCGGGCTCCCCCAGGTTATCAGCCTGTGTCTTGGACGAGTGGGGACTGTTTCCCCAGTTGTTGGTACCTGCCACCGTGAGCTGATTTAAAAATAAACTCAGAGCATTGCTGAGTTCAGTCACTTGATCTAGAGATGTATAACTTCTTATATTAGTGCTTACAAATTGTTCATGTTACAAAACGGTCCTCGTAATTGGAAAAGATTGGGAACTTGCGCTGCCCGAGGCTGGAGTGTATTAGCATCTTCGAGAAACTGAGCACCCTAGAAACATTCCTGGTAAAATGTTAAATTTGAGCAATCAAAAAAAAGTGTGTATTTGAGAGAGAGAGAAAGAGAGAGAGACACTGACTGAGCAGGAGAAGGACAGGGAGAGAGAGAGAGAGGGAGACACAGAATCCGCAGCAGGCTCCAGGCTCCGAGCTGTCAGCACAGAGCCCGAGATGGGGCTCAAACTCATGAAATCATGAGATCATGACCTGAGCCAAAAGCCAGACGCCCAACAGACTGAGACACCCGGGTGCCCCAAATTTGAGTACTTTTTAAATAATCTGACCAGTGGGGAAGCCTTAGTGTTTACGTCGTGTACTTGTTTAAATCTCCTGGCGCTCAGAGGTTCTGGGTGCTGGGATGTGTGGGTCCTGGCTCTTCGCAGGGGTTCCGCGCCACGGCTCCCCTTTGCTCCCTTTGCTCCCTCTGCCTCCCGGTGTTCTCGTCGGCAAAGCCGGAACAGTAACAGTAACTGCAGTAACTTCCGCCTCGGGGTGGTGGCGGGGGCTTGGGGAGAGGACCGTAGTCCCAGAGCGGTGCGTGGCCAGGCGACGGGCCGGAGGGGGTGTGCGCCCCGCCCCGCCCCGCCCACAGCGTTTGGCCACGCCTGGGAGCCTCGGAGCCTCAGGTTGCTTTGGCCTGTGCGCCTTGGGTGACGCCGGCCTGTGCCAACAGAGCCTCTCCCGGCTCTCAGACCCTCGAGCGCAGCGGCAGTGGCACTCAGGCCCCTCCTCCACGGCTCGCTGGGAGCCGTGGCCTCCCTCTCCCAGCTCTTCCACAGGTGCCAGCGGGCCGTGCAGGCTCTGCCCGGCCGGGCCCGCAGGGCCCGTTCCGACCAGGAGGAGCGGCTCCTTCGCAACGTCGTGGCCTCCCTGGCCCAGGCCCTGCAGGAGCTGTCGGCCAGCTTCCGGCGCGCGCAGTCGGGCTACCTCAGACGTGAGTGTCCCCGGGAGTGATGGACGGGATTTCGAGGCATGAAAGTTCCAGCACTAGGACCGCTTTTTGTCTCCATCCTTCCTTTTGGCCGCTAGTTCTCCATTTCGTCCCGAGCCCCCCATCGCCACCCCTTGAGCACGTTTCACAGCTTATGCAACGAAAGGGACCCCCCCCCCCCCCCCCACACACACCCCGTGTGAAATGATGCCCGGACCGAGGCCGAGGACGGGGTGTCAGAACAGTTCACATGCAGCAAAAACAAAACTTACTCTTTGCCAAGCTCGAACAATGTGAAAAGCATTCTAGCACGTTGGCGAGGCCCGTAGCTTCCCAGATGTGGGGTTGGAGGACAGTGCGAACGCAGAGGTAAAAAGTTGCAATCACGCGGAAACTTTATATTTGCAAAACAACTAAAGTATTCGAGTGCCTGAAAATCTTTTCTGGGAGCGGGTGAAATGCTGGCTGCTGGCTGTCCTGGCCAGTGATCCTCTCAGCCTGCCCTGCCCTTTCTTCCTGAACAGTGGGAAGTCTGCTGTCAGCCACGTCCGCGTTCGAATTACCTCATAAACTAGGTTTTTCCTTGTTACCACTGCAATCAGTAATATCCCCACATACTCCAAAAACAAAAAACAAACAAACAAACAAACAAACAAACAAAAAAACCTAGCTCCCCCTCCATCTGACAACTGGCATATTTGTATTTTAATTTTATTACTTCTAAAACTTGATTAGGGCCATTTGGAATTGTTACTAGAGATGCTTCTGGAGAGAACTACTGATTTTTTTTTAAAAAATGTTTTGTAACAGCAGTGAGATTAAATATTTCTGCCTCACTTAGAGATGCTCAGATGGTTTCAGTGTCCTTTTGTCACTCACTTGGCATCGAGTGAATTGTACCCATTTGCAGTGTGATTTTTGTCTTGAAAAACGCCAAATGCTTGCATATTGTTTTATGTTTATAATCTTTACTCTCCCCCCACCTCTGTTGGAGATAGGCTTCTTTTAAAGCTGCTGAGAGTATCTCCATTTTGACTGTTGAGTTTTACTCCAGATGTCCCCTTTTTAATGGCGGAGCAGTAACCAGGACGGTTTACATATTCCAGTAAAGTGAATTCCTATCTATGATAGGCATGAAGAATCGAGAGGAAAGATCCCAGCATTTTTTTGATACAGCAGTACCACTAGTGGATGATGGAGACGATAATACTCTCTATGATCGGGTACGTGAAGGGGCTGCAGAACTGGCTGCTCCACACTCGCGCCCCGCTCTGTTCCTTTTCTTCATAGACCGTTGGCTTGTGTGCGATGAGATGGGTCAGCGCTGCTTCAGGTAGAGTCTGTGCAGCGGTTGGAGGAGCGGTCGTGGGGGCCATACTGCTTCTCCCTCTGCAGAGGCTACGAGGAGACCTTGCAGTCTTGCCTTCCGGAACCTTCAGGAAAGCAGTCTGCCCACCCCACTTGGGGAAGAACCCCGAGAAGTGCAGGGTTCATCCCGCTGGTTTTGCTCCTCGGCCCTTGCGGAGCGGCCGACGTGGGTTCCCCCGCGTCCCCTGCTCGGGCCAGTCGTGCTTTAGATCCTGAGGCGTGTTTTAGGAGTTTGGATCTTGCCTGTCGGGGAAAAAATCAGTGCTTGTGTGTTGTTTACCTGCTTTGTGGAAGTGTTTCCAGAATTCATTCTTTGACTTCCGTCTAACATCACACACCATCCCTTTCTGGAGGCGGGGCGGGGGGCGGGGGCGGCCTCCAACGTACAAATCCTGTATGTTTTGTTTCGCTAGGGTTTTACAGATGACCAGTTAGTGCTGGTGGAACAGAACACGCTGATGGTGGAGGAGAGGGAGCGGGAGATACGCCAGATCGTGCAATCCATTTCTGACCTGAATGAAATCTTTAGGGACTTAGGAGCAATGATCGTGGAGCAGGTACGTGGTTTAGCTCCCTCGTCATTGAGTTTTCCTGCCGTACCTCGGGTCCTTCTTCAGACTTCTGATTCTGCGTTCCCGTCGGGGAACAGAATTTGCCCCTCTCCCCCCACGTGTGCACGTATGTACGCGTGTGCGTGCGCGTTTAAGTAGGTACACGTGCAGATTACGTACACGTGCTAACGTCACTCCCTGTAAAAACACCGAGAGCTTTGTTTCTCTCTCTTTTTTTTTTTTTTTTTTTGAAGTAAAAAACAAATATCCAAAGGTCTCCTGTTCTCCAACCGAACTCCAAGGATGCTCAGGGGACCACCCCGCTTTGGGGGTCTGGTGCCCCCCACTCAGCAATGATTCTGGCACTAGATAAAGTTTCCCTTCTAATTTTGGCAGGTTACTGCGTAATGGCAACGGGAACCACTAGCTTTCAAGTAGAATTAAATTGTTTGTTCGCTGTTACAATCTGATTATGGGGTTTTATTATCTTGCCAGCAGGGATTTGGGTCCCGATCCCCCTGCCACCAGCTGCAGAATGGAGTGTTGAGGCCGTGGAAGATCTAGTTACAATAATTACTCCCGCGGTTCCCAAGGAACTGCTCTTGCTATCTCTACTGATACAGCGTGTTCCATTAAGAGCCCTGTTCTTGCATGTAGCCTGGTGTTCCCTTCTTTCTGTGTGAACCGAGAGATTAAACAATTAAAACCAGAATTCTCCTGGAGGCAAAGGTGTAATTTGACGTGGCGGATTGGAGCTCACTGTCTTTGCTCCGACCCATGGAAGCCTGTGTTGACGTGTGTAGACATGATGGGCAATTTCCAGGCCTAATCATGGCTGGGTCTAGTTTAACCCGCGTTCTCTGCTTACCTGCATCCAAGCATTTACGCAGCGGATGGGCACAGAAGTCAGCCCTTCGCCTCTCAGAGCCTATTTCCACTGAACCGTATGTTTTTTAAAGCCCCAGTGAGTCTGAACGTGGCATATCTTAGAGTGGCTAAATCCAAAAAAGAAATCTCAGTTTGTCAGTATTTCTGTCTCACGAGGTAGACTTTATTGTAACTAACACAGCACTCTGCCACTGAGTGCCTAATAGCGCTTGCGGATGGATTCCAGAGCTTTCCATGTGCACCTTTACCACCCAGTTAAGTAAAACAGATAATCCTGTGCGTAACGATGTCTGCGGTGTGCCCTTCTCATTTTTGATGTTCCGTTTTTCCCGTTGGGGTTGTTGATGGTCTGTAACTGTCATTTCTTACTCAGGGTACAGTCCTTGATAGAATTGACTATAATGTCGAGCAGTCCTGCATCAAAACCAAAGACGGCCTGAAGCAGCTTCACAAGGTAATGTCGGATGTTTCAGTAACCTAGAACTCGAGGAACTGTTCTCAGACACCAAGGCTTCCCAGGAGGACCCTCCGTGTAGCAGCACAAGAACGCACGCTAGCGGCTTGTGTGGAGCCGGCCGTGGCGGTCGTTACCCTTGCCCGGCAGGAAACGGTTCCCGGTGCACCTCACACGTGGGTTTGACGTTGCTGAGAACTCCCTCCCGTGACAGGAAATTGTAAAGCAGTTGGGCTTTTCTTTCTGTCAGAAAGCGTCTCGCTCTTTGAATCTTGTTTCAGGAAGTCAGGGGAATGGGCATTTGTTAGACGCGCGTCGAACATTCCGTTGGCTCGTTGGTGCCGACTCGGGGCTCTCTTGTTGTGACGCCCTTCTGATGGATTGCTGCTGGAGGGTCATTCTGGAGCAGATACAACTCTCGTCTTCCCTTTCAGTTGCCACGGCGTCTCTGTGCGCTACCTTGAGGAAAGAGTCGTTTGTTGACGTGAGGCTAGCTCCCTTGCTCTTTGCTGGGAAGGTAGCTCTTTCGGGAAGATCTTTCATGATACTTGTTAACGATAAACGGGAAGCGTCTTCGAAGCCTGGTCGTCAGTGGCGAGACACACACACGTGCAGCCGAGGGGATCTCGTGTGTGATTAGGGGCCTGTGTGCTTTGAGAGGGACGAGGACGCTTCACAAAGGAGACAAATTTCTGTCCGTTTCCTTGTATCTTGGAGACCCAGTGACACTTGGAGCCATAGCATGAGCATTTTTCCAGTCCACTGACGTACCGCTCTGTCGCCCTGCGGAAGCTGGCTGCTCCCCGGCCGGGACGGTCCCGGCTGCGGGTGGTGTCGAGTGCACAGAAGGTGACGCCTGCCGAGGTGTGACCAGAAGCCCTTGACGCTCGCTGCCGCAGCAGGGTGGGAGTGAGACTCCCGGCACCTGGCGAGAACAAGAGGCCCGCCTCAGACGGGCCGAGGGCTCGATGCTTGCGGGCTCGTTTTGCCGCCAGCCTTGTGTATGGGGGTGACCGCCAACTCGAGTTTCCCGCTCTGTAATACCCAGCTTCTGATACGCTGTTGTTGTTAGAGTGTCTTCAATAAAAACTAGTGAAACGTGTCCTCTGATAGAACGCAGACCACGGGCAAAGCTTTCTCCGCAGGAGCGTACAAATCCAGGGGGAACTAAGAATGCTGTTTCAGGGTCTACTTCATGAATCATTTTGAGAGGTTTTTAAGTCCCGTGCGGCATCGGCTCCCCTGGCGTCCCGGGTTCCTTGTCAGAGAAGTGAGCCAGCCCCGTGCTCCCTCTCACGTCACGTTCTGTCAGCAGCGTGGCTGCCCGTTAGCCGGCCGTCACCTCCTCCGGGGCTGATTGAGCCTCGGGAGTGGCCGCACACGGGCCCGACTGGCAACACGGGCTGACCCGTCTAGGCCGCGGTTTCCTCCCGGTGGATGAGTGGCTCCCAGGGGGTAGGTGGGTTCACTTAGGAAGCAGACCTGCCAGTCAGAAGGTTGGCGGGGAACACGGAAGTAAGACAGAAGGGGCTGGATCTGCTCGGCAGACGTGGCCACCAAGCTGCCGCCTTCTTGTCCTTCCCCGTGAAGTGGCCACCCCCCCACCCGCCCCCGGGGGAGCGCAGGGCCTGCTCTTCCTTTCTCTGGGCCAGTCCCCGGGAAGCCGAGGCGGGCCGCCGTTGGGTTTGTGCGCGGCAGGGGAGGTGTGACGGCTGGCGCGTCCGCCCCCTCTCCCGGCCTCCAGGCTGAGGTCTGCGGCTGCGGTGTGCAAGAGGGTGCGGTGTGCAAGAGGGTGCGGGGTCGGCAGGCGCCTGCCTGTGGTGCCGGCAGAAGCACGGGGAGGGAGGACCGCGGGGGCGGGGGGGGGGGGTCTCTCTCTGCACTTGCTACCCGTGGCTCACTCCTTCCCATTCCCATCTCAAAGGAGGGGTGTGCTCTTGTTTCCAAAGTCAGGGGAGGCGGAAAACACCCTCGGGGGGGGGGGGGCGTCAGTCCCAGGGGGGATCCGTAGCCAGTTGTTGGGTGTCATGGTGAAGGAGGTACACGTCCGTCCAAGGAACCGTGTCCAGGAACGGGAGGCTCGGGTGGAAAGAGTGGCTCGTCGCAGACGGTGGGAGCGGGCGGGGAAGCGGGTCGGCCGGGCCCTGAGGCAGAGCCGTGGACTCCTCCTGCCAGCCTTTGTCGTAACGGCGGATCCCAGGCCCGGGCTCTGGGGCAGCCCCGGGGGGGAGATGGGCGGCTCCGGGACCGTGGCACTCGTCCGCTCGTGTCGATTAATCGTGCCGGAATTGGCGGGCGGGATTCTGATGACGTGGCCCGTGGCGGAGACGCCAGTTGGGCAGACGGACCCGCAAGCCCAGAACTGGAAGCGGGCGGGCTTGCTATTTGGCTGTTCGCGGAAATGACGGCCTCTCTCCCCTCCTCTTTCTGTAGGCAGAGCAGTATCAGAAGAAGAATCGGAAGATGCTTGTGATTTTAATATTATTTGTCATCATCATTGTCCTCATTGTTGTCCTGATCAGCGTGAAGTCTCGCTAGGCGGCCGTGCGGCCACGTGGGCCGCCCGTGTGCGCTCCCGGGCGCGAGGGGCTCGGCCGCCCTGCGGGCACAGCGGAGGCGCGGGCTGCGGACCGCGCGGGGGCGGCGAGCGCCTGCCTGGACCCCTCGTCACGGTCGTGCTCCAGCAGGGGGATGAGCTGCTGTTTCTCCTTCATTGTCAAGAATTTAAGGACCTTTGATGCTGCTGCAGAATAGAGATTGAGTTCTGTCATCAGTTATAATATATATTTTTTTTAGAAAGAGAAAATGAGTTGAATGTTTACAGGCACTCCGCAAGCTGTTCGATATTGTATGTGCATATGCTATTTTTTTAGCAGTCATGTCTGAGCAGCATGTAAAAATAATTTTTGGAAACGTTTTTTAAAAACCATCTGGTTTTTAAGAAATTTGGTACCAAAAATTTATGAGTAGAGGCAAAAATGCCTCTTCATCTTTCTCTGTATATTTTCCAGTTGAAAACAAACTGAGAAGTCCTTTAAGAATTTATAATCCGTTCCCCATTAACTTAATTTAGCTTTTCCATCACTGTTAATGATCAGAGTAACAAAGTGTGAAAAATAAGAAACCATTATTGATGTTAATTAACACATTTAGATGGGCCAGTTAAAACAGCTTCATAAGTTTAAATTAATCGTAAATGGACTATTCCTCATTTAGAGTTTGTGCACTGCATTTTCTACTGTAAACCAAAAGGGGTTACCAAACAAAACCACCTAAATTTAAAAGTTGGTGATTTGAACCAACCGCACCTGAAAACATGAAAAAGGGAAGCTTGGCCGTGTCATGGAAGTCACCAGAATCAGCCAGTGTGCCCCTGTCCTCGTCCCCAGCCATCCTTGCTCAATCCCTTACTTACACACTAACTCCATAATGACCTGTTCAAACTAGCCACCATTTAATGAACTGTGAATTTACACGGAGGCCATTCTAAATGGGTCACCCCATTTAGGATTAGTGGATCTCAAATTATTAACCAAACATCACTCCGTTTCAAAGTAGAATATTCCACCAGGGGCATGATTTATCGGCTCTTGCGTTGCTGCTTAACATGCCCAGAAAGTAAGCACGTTCCGACAGATTGTGAAAATCTTGACTAGAAGTCCCTCATTTGTGCGAGCACGAATCAGATCGCCGGAGTGGGACTTTGCCGTTTTCTTACCTGTTATCACTATGGTGCTCGAATATATTCCTGGAACTGTAGAATAATGTGGAAAGCGATGATGGCTTTGAAAGCTCAACTTGTTCGTGTTTTTACTTGGTCTTGAGACGCCAGTATAGTTCTGATGGTCTTTGTATAACTTTCGATGGCTTTTCCATTGTTTTTTTACCTCTCCCGAGAAGTTTGCGAAGAGCGTGACCTCATTAAATGTGCTATGTTTTATTTGGATCAGTCACATACAATGTGTCTTTAGAATTGACTTTGAAGTCGTTTCCAGAAACTTAAACGCAAGTCCAGAGGTTCAGGTTGTCCAAACAGATCATGGTCTTAGCACCCACACCCATGCCCCAGCCTTCCCCTTCCCAAGTTCCCGGCCACCACTGGTTTTCTCACGACCGATGCGGCTGTAGAACGATCCGAAGGTGCCCCTGGCATTTCAGGAAATCGCCTGGTATTCCCTGACCAGCCATTATGTATTAGGCAAAAAGGTCAGGAAGTAAGAATCCACCTCCTTGATCACCCCTGACATGTGGGGCTTCTGCAGATCTTGAGAAGAGCCGTAGGCATTTTCTAGTCACAGCGGGCTTTAATCCGGTGGCCGAGTCGAGATGTTCCTCTGGACCGACTGCTCCCAGGAGCGGGGGGCCATTCAAGGTCACGGGGCTTCCCTCCCCGGCGGTGGACAGTGGCGACAGGAGGCTCGGTGGTCTTAACGTGCAAGGCAAGTGACCCTTTAAGAAAGGATCGCCATTTATTTATATTTATTTTCAGTTAACAGGGTGATTGGGGCTGGTTTTTGCCCCCCTCACCCACCAGGGTAAAGTAACGGATCTGACACAGAAGTGATCTTGAGGATCTCGAGTGAACTGAGAAAGCAGTGCAGTGCCACAGAAAGCCCCCCCACTGTCTGCTGCCATCACCTTGTCCCCAGGCCACCTTGTCCCCAGGCGGGGAAGCGGCCCCAGGGCGTGTGCTCCTCAAAACACTGTGTTTTTCTTTTGAGCCTTTACTTAGGGAAAGATCAGCAGCCTTGGGGGAAGTAAGAGTAGATTGGTCCTGGGGCCCTGGTACCTCAGGGTAACGGGTGATTCTGTGCCTCTGAAGGAGACGGGCTCCTTTTGCTCCAGACGGCCACTGTCCCAGGGAGGGCCGGGCCATTCAGCTCTGTTGGGCTCTGGTGGTAATGATCGCCAGCCCGGTCTCTCCCCGCGCCTGGGACACGACCGGAGAAAGGGGGTGGGGGGGAGGGGGAGGCTCCCTCTGGGCAGCCCTGGGCTCGGCCCCTGGACACCTGCCCCCTTGAACGTGTCCGGGGGTGGCTCCGTTGACGGGGCCAGAGAGGAGATGAGGAAACGTTTACCGTCAGGTCTCCAAAGCTCCTGATCTTTCCTGCGATTGTAACAAGTCTACTGTCTCTTGTTGTATTAATTTGGGGGTGGGGGGTGCTGGCTTCGCCATGGGCGTGAAGCGGTGTGTGTCTCTAATTTAACGGATTTACCGCTTTCTCTGCTAATTGAGAGAGCATTATTTATTTGTTTTGACACAAGTGCTTTCAGTGTTTTATCCTAGCTAATGGCTTCTTAAAGGTAATAAAACCCTTCCAACCTAATTGGTCAGATAAGACTTTTTTCCTTGTGTGCTTAAATAAAGCAATTAGTGAAGCGCTTCTATCCAAAATGACTTTTTTTTTTGTCCTTTTTTAAAACTAATTCACTGTTACTGGAAACTTTTTGTACAATAAAGCAATCATGCGGATTAAAGAGCATCCTGCCGTCCTCGTATTAATTTTAACGACGGGGCTCGTGTTTTCTTCCAATGCATCTGTGTTACAGGAGGGCCTCATCCGTTCTGTGATCGCTTGGGCCAAATGACTATTTGTTTTGTGTCGGAGGCCTTGCCTCAATGTCTGAAAGTCCATCCATCTGCCTAATGGACGCTCGCAAAGGGACCAATCTGTCTGCCATCCAGTAGACAAAAGGGAAGGTGCCATAGAGGCAGATAATTATTTTCCCTATGGAAATGTATGCTTTATATACATACCAGGAAACATTAGGAGACCTTCAAATGAAATTGTGGTGTGTGAGCCTCGTCGAGAAGTAATTCTTACAGCTGGGCTCCGGGAGACTTGCATTTCTAAGTGACTACGAATGTTTCCTATTCTGTGCCACTGAAAACTTGAGAGCGAGGCTTTGCCAGCTGAGCTCAAAGCCAGGACCTCGTTTCCCGTCGAATGTGTTGTGTCCCGGGCTCCTCCTCAAAGGCTGGGCTGGGTCTTTGTCACCCAAGCATTGTCTTACACGTCATCGAGGCATGATGGGGTGAGTCTTTTTTTTTTTTTTTAAGTGAAACGCCGGAATCTGCACAGGAGCGGTCTGGCCCAGCAGTCCCCTTGGCCAACGAGGCATTCAGTCCTGGGCTGTTGCTGTTGCTTGTCACGATTAGTTGCCTTCAGAGCCTGTCGATGAACCACCCAAAAGAAGCAACCTTCTCTTGTGTCCTCACCTTGTGTTTTGGCTAGGAATTCTATCTCCCCAACTTGTTCAAAAGCCATTGGCTCTGTCCAAGAATCGAAGCCACCTCCCAAAGGGTAGACGTTTGCCGTAGGCTTCAAGAACATTCTGACCAGCGATAACAACCTTGAAGAAACCCTCCACGTTGACGGGGACAGCCATGTAGGTGGCAACGCTTGGGAACGTTCTGTAGGCTCCGCAGGGAGCCTTAGGAGAACGGGCTTCAGGAGCTCTGATCATCACCCAAAATGTGAGCAACCTAGAATTCTTCCCCGTTCTCCTGGAGCTGCAGCAAAATGACTTACCCAGCCCGGCATCATGGGTAGGATAGTGTGTTACTCTAACGTGCTGGCTTAACTTTGATCATCGGGCTCCCCTAGTCTCGTCAAAACCTGCGGGAACCAGATGGAGAGGCCCAGGTCACGTCTTCCCAGGAGGAACGTCTGATAGGCGGGTGTCGGGAGGTTAGGACGGAGCTGCCGTGTTGCTACTTCAACTGACTCGTGTAGCACGAGTTCCCGCGTCAGATTCTCAGATTCGGGCCGGGCCAACGTGGCTCGCTTGCCGTTAGCTACCTTCGAAACCTAGCAGCGAGGGTACGCATAAACGTGGCTTCAGGTTGCTTGTCTCTGTGTGTGTTAGCCCTTAGAAACTCCTCATTTCCTCTCTTCAGATGGCCCTGACCACCCAGATGCCACCTCTGACCTCGTTGCCCGATGTTTTCGTTTAGTTTGGTTTTGGAATTGAGGTCAGTGATGGGCGTTCGTTCAGGTGACCTAATGTGGATGCGGGGTGGGCCCTGCTCAGAGACTTCCAGCTCGTCTGAAAACGATCCAGACGTGGCACTCCGAGCCGGACGGCGGGCACGAGCCGTGTGCTTCACGCGTCTCGGCCTGACCGCACACCGCCCTCAACTTCCTCCTACCAGTCTCCGGCGCGGCCTTCTGACGCCACAAAAGGACATTCCGCAGAGTCGAGTGGCAGAGACTCGTGCACAATTACCCGGTCAGTTGAGGCAAAAGAAAATGATCATTTGTCCAGTTGTCCAGGTGAGCTCTCTGGACCGTCCCGGATGCTCGGATAGTCGTGTGGGCCTTCACTTCAGCTCCGTGATCTGGCTCAAAGGGACCCTTCGAATGAGACGCCATTCGATACGATGTACATTTGCATCAGACGTCGTGAAAGTAGACCGTTGGGTTGAGTGTTTTCTGCTTGTCAACTATTCTTATAGAATTGTTTGTAGCTAATCATCCCAAGTCTGCCATTAGTGATCACCGTTCCTCTCATTTTATAGATGTAACGGAGGCCAAAGGGGCTCTGGTTTGGGTCACGTGGTCCCTCTTGGAGGAAGTGCTGAGGGAGTCACACGGTTTTTTAACTTGACCTTCTGACTCGGGACCCCGTGGTGGACCTCCATTTTCATTGCCAGTTAGGCAGAGAGACCATCTTCCTCTCTTCCCCCAACCAGCCCCCTTTCCCAGGTGGGGAAACCGAGACCCCCCCCCGCCCCCGCAAGGGGGCTCCCCAAGGTCACATGACTAGTACAACCCAGGGCTGGAACTAGGATGTTCAGCATTCTCATTTGCACACCCGGGTACCACTTCTGCTTGTGTCATCTGGATCGTTCGTTTCTTTCCATAAAATCAAATGACCATCTACGAGAAAGACTTAATGGCAAGATGTGATGTGGTAAAGGCTTCCTCAAGGATTTTTTCCTTATTACAAAGATGAGACCAGACTGAGGCTAAGAGAGATTTGCAAACAGCGGTATCTCATTATCCCTAGTTCAGTTTTTCGTGTAATTGGCGTGAAGAGATTACCGCTGATGTCTAAGCCGGCTGCCGAACAGAAAATAATGATTCTTCTGTGACATGACTCGGTGTGCACACGTGTGTGTACTTGGGGGTGTTTACGAAAGGTATATGTGTACATAAAATGCTTACCAAGATGGGTAATGTCATTTTAGAGTTGTAAATAACAAGAAATAGGCTTGAGCAAAACTGATCTTACAACTGCCTGAGAATGTAACACTTCATTTCCGCACTATGAAATGGCTAGAAATTGATTTTTTTTTTTTTAAATCCAATTAAGCCTCAAGGTTGGTTATCCATTTAAAAGGTCGGCTGAGTTAAACAATGACAGTACCGTCAGTTCATGCTAATAATTAAATTGACACAGAACTTGAGCGCTTTCCATCCTGCCTCGTGGAGGCAGACATCCTGTGTGTTGCACAAAAATGTAAGGCAGAAGTCACCCCCCCCCACCCCCACCCCGTCCCCACCGGGGTGCCCGCACGCCAGCCGACCGTGAACCCTGACCGGGTCAGTCCGCAGGCCCCGGCCGCCATCCCCGTGGCTTCTTCCCCTGGGATTCCCACAGAACACCCTGGAACGCCCTGGTGCCCACTCACCTCCCATCTCCCCCTTCTTCCGGCCCCAGGGCTGTTGGGAGGCGGAAAGTAACCTCGTTCAAAGAGAAAAAAGAGGGGTCTCTTGGCACGTGTACCCGTGGTGTACCCACGAAACTACTCGATTTCACGCGCTGCCGAGTTTCTAATGGGACAAATAAATCACGTCTTAAAAATAGTACTTTACGGTGCGTATTGACCCTGTGTTCCCAATGTGTTAAGGAAAAGACTTCAGAATGTCTTTTTATGGTGCTCATAGGTGATGTTCAAGTATTTGAATTTATGAAGGTGTGAGGCGAGCCGGGAACCTGATTGGAACACTCTTTACCCTGTCGGGGCTGTAACGTCACTCTTGGTTTGTAAATTGCCGAGAAGGGATAAGTGATCTTATTTCAAATCTAGCATTTTAACCTGCATCGTAATGTAAGGTTGCATCCGTTCAGTACTTTCCATCCGTAACTATGAGCCACCCTGAAAGATGGAACCTTCCAGAGTTAGTGAGAAAAAAATTGTATTGAAGTTCCCTCTCGGGGCCCTTAAGGCTAACAATTCCCGCTTGGTATTTTGTCCCCCACCACACCCCCTGCCTCACACTCCTCAGCTGCCAAAATCCTCAGCGACAGATGTGTGATCCTGTCTTACTTTCCCAAAGATCCACGGTTAGCTAATGCCGATAGACGTGTTGCTCCACACAAGAGTGTTTCTGAGGAAAAAATGGGACTCAGGTTTTTCAATATTGAATCATGTCTTTTTATTAAAATATATATATTTTTTTTTATGTTTATAAACGAGACAGAGAGAGACAGAGCATGAGCGGGGGAGGGGCAGAAAGAGAGGGAGACACAGAATCTGAAGCAGGGTCCAGGCTCCGAGCCGTCAGCACCGAGCCCGATGCGGGACTCGAACTCACGAATTGCGAGATCATGACCTACCTGAGCCGAAGTCGGAGGCTTAACCGACTTGAGCCACCCTGGCACCCCAAGATTGAATCATTTCTGATGCACTAGAGAAACATGCTACTTAAAAGGATCCTGTAAGTGAAGCTTCTCCTAAAGAAAAGATTTCTTGATCAAAATAAACATTTACCCCCTCATTTTGCTTTTCTGTACACCTTCTTTCCCATATGCTAAGTTGCCTCAAGGGATGTGGAGCCACGCCCGGCCTGTTAATTACTTCTCGATTCCTTCCTGCGGGGTCACCCCGTCCCAAGGTCCCAGGTCTTCCATGTGCCCTTGAAGACTTCCGCGGCGATGGAAATAATTTTGCCGGTGTTCAGAGTAAATAAGAATGTGGTCCCCGAGACAGGAGGGTTATTACTGTCCGACCCCGCGGCCTCCCTGGGAGGATAATTTAGGCCCAGAGCAGCCAGCTCAGACGCTCATTTTCTCGAAAATCCCTAAAAACTGATGTTAGCAGGAATGCTTTTTGTTGTTAATAAGCGGTTCCTCTGGTACATTTTTATTAACGTTCTCTCATCCCACTGATACCGGAAGGTAAAAAGCGCTTTAGAGGAGATTGCAGAATGTGCTTTTTGAACAGAGTGCAAAAGAACACGTGCAGGATGCTGTCTTTTGTATAGATCCGTGAATACGTATAAACGCGTTTTGTTTTGTTTTGTTTTTTGTTTTGTTTTTTTCAAAAAGAAACAGGAAGGATAAACCAAAACCTGATAAAAATGGTCACCTCTGGGGGGAGGGGGGAGGGGAAAAGGAGGAGAAGGGACAGGGAACATCTTTGAGCATTCCTTCACGCGGTTTCAACACTTGAACCACATAAATGTTGTTCGTGGGGCGCCTGGGTGGCTCAGCCGGTTGCGCGACCACCTTCGGCTCAGGTCACGATCTCACGGTTCGTGAGTTCGAGACCCTCGTCGGGCTCTGTGCCGACAGCTCACGGAGCCTGGAGCCTGCTTCGGATTCTGTGTCTCCCTCTCTCTCTGCCCCTCCCTCGCTCATGCTCTGTCTCTCTCTGTCTCAAATAAATATTAAAAATAAAGGAATAAATAAATGCTGTTCGTATTCAAAAAAGAAAATGAAAAACAGCAAGCCCTTCAGTTCAATACAAACAGAGGCACAGTGACGAAGGAATGAGGTGAACACACACACAAAAGCCAAGTCAAGTGCTGCCCACCCCAGTGGGGTAATGCTAAGAACAAAAAGAAAGAACTCTCCCAACTTGAGGCGGTGGGTTTGTTGCCACGAATGCTATGGAAAGAACACTCCAGTAGCCACAGAAGGGTGACCGGGGCCTCGGGTCCTCACTGTGGGAGAAGGAAGTACAAACATAGGGTGGGGCACGTGAGGACGAGCCCAGTAACACGGGCTTCGAATCGGAGGAATCCGTGTGAACCCACAATGTTAAAAACAAACAAACAAACCCAAATCCTCCTTCTGTCTACCAAAAGGATCGGGAACAGCGACAGCTGAGGAGCACTGAGCACACTTCCCACACAGCACTGGGTTTCCAGATGGGAATCTAAACGGCCATTCCCCCGATTTCAAGAAGACAGGGCTCCCATGAGGCCTGGCAGACTCTTGATTTGGGGCAGGGAAGGAGCAGAGGGAGCCTGGGCATCATCAGTTCCTTCCAAAGAGGACAGAAGTCCTCAAAGACGGAATAGCGACACGTGGAAAAGACACGGGGGAGGGGTGCCCGCGTGGCTCCGTTGGCTCAGGTCATCATCTCACAGCTCGTGAGTTCGAGCCCCGCGTCTGGCTCTGTGCCGACAGCTCAGAGCCTGGAGCCTGGTTCGGATCCTGTGTCTCCCTCTCCCTCTCTGCCTCTCCCCCGCTCACGCTCTTTCTAAAATAAATAAACACTGAAAAAAAAAAAAAAAAGACATGGGGGGCTGGTGTGATGGGGCCCTGGCTGGCCTGAGTGGGGACAGTGACCGTGAAAAATCCAGATATAGGGACATAAGTGGGGCACGGCCGGTCCCGGAGCCCATGGCCACCACTAGGGCACAGGCCCGTTTTTTGGGTTGATCCTCCACTGGCACCATCTTGAAATTCTCTTTTGACAAAGAGCCTCTTGGCGCTTTCCTTTCTGCACCAGGACCCTACAGATTATGTGAACTGGTCCTGGGGACAAGGGGAGGCAGGGAGGTCGCTACTCAAGACTTCCAGGTGGCAAATGTGGGCGGGATGATTCAGCTAGAAAAATCACCGTGTTGCAACCCATACTTGATTGACGCAGAGATCGTCACTGGCTGTGAAAGCTTTGGGGGGAGAGGTCAGGAAACAGACGAGGTCGCAGTCTCAGAGCGTCCATGCACTTTGAAGAGGAAACCGAGTTGAATGCTATTAATTACGAAGAGGGAAATGGACCTTTACCGTGAAGAGATCTGGTCAACCCCGCTTATACCCAACAACCCACCTTGGCTAGTAACAGGAGACACCTGGGTTACGTGGTTCCTGATGAGGCGCAGTGGGAAACACAATGTGTTTGACGCGAATCTAATCGTAAGGAAACACTCCTACGAATCCAGGCCGTGGGTCCCTCTATGAAACATGTTAATGTCGGGAAACACAAAGGCAGGCATTGTTCTGGATTCAAGGAGACCGAAGAGAATTGACAACCAGGCGGAAGGCCTCGTCTTTATTTGGGTTCTGGATTTTAAAAAGGCAATGAAGGACATTTTGGAGACAATTAAACACATTTCGGTGTGGACTGTAATAGTATTGCTTCAGTGTTCATTTCCATGGGTACGATCAGGATATTATCGTGATTATGTGGGCTCGTGTCCTTGTTCCTAAGAGATACACGCTGACGTATTTAGTGTGTTTAGTGTATGCAACCAACTTTAAATAGTACAGGAAAAGACATATGTCCGTGGACACACACACACACACATCATACGATCCAGGTAAAGGGTAAACAAGTGTTCACTATTTGTTTTTCAACTTTTCCAGAAGTTAATGCATTTTTCAGAATTTCTAGAGAAATGTGATTTTCATGGCTATTAGTTCATTTTCAATCCTTCAAGGAACATTTGGCACAAATCTTCTGGGTGCCGTGCCTGACACAGGATTTACAAAGGGTAACTGGGGTGCTCCCTGACACCCGGGCACTTACGGTGTGGCGAAGGAAGACGCAGACATGCACAGCACAGACCACGTTCTGCGAGGTCACGCGGGTGTCACCGTCTGTCCGTTCACTGGGGGCTCACCGCCCCACCGGCTGCTCCCGGAGCCAATCCTGCCTCCTTTCTGTCCGGGCGTGTGAAGTAGACCGTTGTCCACCAGGAATGAACCCTACCTTGATTTCATGTTAGTCTTGACCGAGGCACTTCCACTGGCTCTGTGAGCCGCGAGATCAAGTTCAAACAACGTGGCTCAGCGGCGTACTTCTCACGCACACTTTATGCGTGCAAGTGAGCTTTTGACGGTTCTGAATGGACCGTGCTCTTCCGGACTGTGAGCCCTCGCATGAACAAACCCCTTACCGGGGATCAGACTGCCTGGGGCACCTCAGTTTGTCCTTGGCCGTCTCATCCCAGCTCAGTCTTCCCCAGGGACTGGATTTCTGAGTTTTACCACCCTCTTTGCTCCCGCAGCTCTGCACACACGCACGCATGCACATCCCCACACCCCACCCCTGCCACACACACCCACGTGCCATTGGACCCCCAAAGCCTGACCAGGCCTGGAGCTCTTGGGAACAGGTGTTCAGCATCTGTTTGGACGAGCGACGATACTAGAAAGAACCAACAAGCGCTCTGAGGGGAATGAGTGTTTCTCACATCAGAATAATGGAATCTGGGAATCTCGTGGCAATCAGTCTAAGCAGGCATCAGAGGGGGTTTACTACAGGCGTGAAATTAACAGATAAATGCACATTTCATACCCCCAGAGCCATCTTACAGGGCATGAGCTCAGAAACGTGTTTTAGGATGTGAACGGCACCAAAAGCTTCCTCCGGAGTCCTGGGAATTCCATTCAGATTTCTTCCAGTTTTAGGGCTTGTTTCCCCAGCTGCTAAAGCCTGAACGCCCGGTTGAATTCGGGATGAGTCACACCCCATCAAAAACATACGTTACTTCTTGGGTTGCGTTAAAGATCTGGTAAGTTGTTTTAAATTTTTCATTTTTTCGAAGAAAATGAAGTTGAGGTGCATTTTTCATTGACAGTGAAATATATACTAAGCTGTGGATTAATACCTTCGTAAAAATTTATCTAAACAAAGTGCTGCCTGCCTTATTTATGTTGGAGTCCGTCAAGTCTGCGGTGCAAAGGGTAAGTACTTTCCTGGAATATATTTGTATCTGTCACAAGCTACATCTTGAGGAAACTGGCAGGCATTTGAAGTGAAATAACTCCTTAGCGGTCTGTTTAGTTTGGATTTCTTCGACTCGGGGTGGGGGGAGGGGACGCTTGGAAGGCAAAAGCCGGACTATCTGCTCCTAACAAGCATCTAGCATTTTCCCTGGCTCTGTGTATCGCAAGTGTTCTCTAAACGCCTGTTGGGTTGGGTAATCTTGTTCATCCTGTCTTGGGGCTGTTGGGGTTATTCTCCTCTTACATATGAAAGAATTCTCAAAGGAAAGAGCCTCTAGAATGATCTCTCTACAAGCAGTTTCTCTCCCCCACCAACTCCCTGCACTCAAACCTGCCATAGCCGGCTTGCTAAAAGCGTGGCTTGGATCCTTCCGCGGGCAGAAGTCTCTGGAGTGAATCCCCGGCTTACAACCGCAGCCCTCTCCTTCCCTGTTCCCTGGGACCCTCTCATCTCCCCCCGCCCCTCCCCCACCCCCGGGGATTCAGAGCCCGGTGGACACGTGGCCGCTCTGGGTCTGGGCTCTCCTCCCGGGTTTCCCCCCACCTCAACGCCTTCCCTGCCCTGTTTGTGTGTGCCATTTCACCCTCCAGGACAAAGCCCCCGGCCCTCCCCCTCGGAGAAGATCCCCCTCGGCCTTCCCCCCCCACTGCTGGAGTGCCCTGTGCCTCTCTGCAACGTATTTGCAAACAGAAAAAAACAGCCATAGATCTTCATACGGAGCTCTTCTCGTCGTACCCTTTACAACGTGTGAAAACATTCAGCTGCTGTAAAACCTTTTGAGGAAAATAAGATCCAATTAGCGTCGACTTTCATGTGGGGAAAGCTGAGGGTTTTCGAAGGAATCCCTTTCGTTGATTCAACAACTGTTTTTCTCGGCACCTGCTCGGTGCTGGGCCCTGGAGCAAAGAGACTCAAGCCTCCAGAATGCTGACGCTCCGGTCTGGAGGGACCACCAGGGACCCCGCACCAGGGACCGTGACTCAAAACTGACAGGGACGACGACGAAGCTGTGACTCGCGGGGGGGCCTGGCCAGGCAGGGAGCTGGGGAGGCGCACTAGGAAACCAGCAGCCGAGAGCCTTGGATGCCGAGCCGGGGGAGATGGCTTTGGTAATTTTTAAGGTTGATAATGGAGGAAACTCAAAATGGGAACGGTGGCACATGGAACTAGCAGGCGGTAACAGAGAGGGGTGCCAACAGGCCCTTGAGCAATCAGGATGTGGGCAGGAGCCTAATTTTTAAATGAGCGTGGGGAGCGCTTCCTCATCCGGGTCATCACTCCCTGAACCTTGTATCTGAGCTGGGCGGGAGCTAAGACCCTTCCCAACCAGACACCCACCATCCACCCCATACCCCAGGGCCCCTCCACCACCCCACCACATGCCCCCCAGGCACTCTCCAGGTGTCCCCCCCCGCCGCCCTTGCCTAGCCTTCCCTCCTCAATGAGGGGTGGCTCTGGTGCCGTCCTGGAAACCACCCGCTGCCCCTCCTCTGGTCTCCTCGCCTCCTCTCTCCCTCCCCAGGCAGGGTGGGAGGCCGTAGGGGGCACCTTGCTCAGACGGCTGTCAGATGACCCTTCCTGCTGAGGGGGTGGGCTGAAGAAGGGCCCTCCATGGGACAGGGCCACGCCTGAGTTTATAACTGGCCGTCCCAGAAGCAGTAACCTGGACGGAAACCCACATAATGACACCCTACTCACATCCAGGACGCTGCCTGGAAAATAGTGGGGAGCCGATCAACGAACCCATCAAGCGAGGAGGAAGGAACAATACTGCCCAGCACGCCAGGCAGTGGGGCCTTGTCTAAGTCAGGGGCTGGCAGGGGTCCAGGCATCACCCGGCCAGTGCAAACCTGACAGGTGGGGGGCTGGGGGGGTGGCGTGGGAAGGGCACGCACCCGCCAGCCTAGGGTCACCCAGGACCACCGCTGGCAGCTGGGCCTGCTTAGGACTCATCCAGACTGTGGTCCAGTGGGAGCTGCGTGGGTGGACTTGAGGTTGGGCCTGGGTCATTTCGGGATATGCTGGAGGCCAGGGCCACCAGGGTGTGCTGGGGCTGGAGGCCAGGGCCTCTCCCTGGAAAAGCTATCCGGAGAGCTGTTTCCCTCACTTTGAAGGCAGGACCCACTGGGGGGCCTGTGGGGCTCAGGGCCTGCCTCG